CTGGGAAGGAGGAATTGCATTCACGTCAGAGCTATATTGGGAGATCAGATCCTGGGACGCCATGATGTAGACGGGAGCCACGAGATGATAGATCAAAATAAGCTCGATCAGCCGACTGAAAGCTGCGGTAAGGTGAAAAGGTGATACGAAGGTGGCGTGCGATCAGAACGGTGTGAAACATGATAAGCAGTCCCTGTGTGTGAAACGTGAAGTGAAATTCGAAGGTAACGCAGAGTTCAAATATCATGAGCATGCAGCAATTCAAAGACCTTTTGATGGAAGAAGTGGCATCAATACCGAATGTCGGGAGAAGCATTGTTACTCCAAAAGAATCGGGCAAGGCCACTAGGCTCACTGGATCGCTGTCGCAGAATAGTCGACAGTTGGTCAGGTACTCCTCAAGGGTAAAGTGTTTACCAGCGAGATCTGGAGTGGTTGTATGCCGAGTTTCGAGAACGAGGTTGGCCTTCACGGTGCTGATCTCGAGAATGGCCTTCGCGATAGGAGGAACGGCGATCTCGGCGGTTGTAGGTTGAGCTGTCCCAAGAAGCATTGTCGTGCCAATGTCGGCGAGCATGATCTCGTGAGGCATGTTCGGTGGTCTCGTGGTGGCTGGTTGTTGCTCGAGAGTCGTCTGGAGGTGGGTCTGAAGGTGCTGGTGTGTCAGCGGTAGGGTCAGGTCGTGCTGGACGTTCATGATCAGCTGGTGGTTCAGTTGGTGCTGCGGCAGTGGGTGGGTTTGTCTCCGCTGCCTGGTGTGTGATCAAGCCCGGGTAAACCGAATGAGTAGAGGCAACATAGCATATTGATGCGGCGCTGGAGTTCATAGCCGTTGCATTGTCTTTGCCCTTGGAGATGCCCGATAGGTTGCACAAGCGTTGAATTTGGTCATTTCCTCCAGATAGGGCCAGTATGCATTTAGGGGAGCGACAAATGGCCAATAGGCCAGATGGGTTTTGTCCTTTCCCTATGCGGTAGAGCTGAGATGTACATATCTTGACAGCATAGCCCGGTAGGGTATCGATGTCAGGAATCTCCGAGGACATGCCGAAGAACCCGTAGCATGGGTATTGAGTCGGATAGCCGGCTTCGTTTTTTGTCCAGGTTGCCGGGCGAATGCAGTCTTCCGCGAGGATCTTGGCAACTGTTTCCCAACTCGTTTTGTGGTAAATTAGGTAGGTGCCCATGTGCTCGCCACGATAGATCGGTTTCTTGGGCAATCCCGTTGGGACCGTGATGGTCAGCAGGTTCTCTGGCTCGATGTAAAACGCTTTGGTTTGCTTCGCCAGCTCGATGTCCAGTAAGCTGGATTGTGCAAAGGCCCTGGCAATGTTCTTGACGGTGGCTTGGCTTGCTTTGATATAAATAAGTTGGTTGTTGACGGTGCGATATGGTTGAGCCAACTGGTGGAACATCTCGTCAACGAACTGGTTGAAGAGCTGCATGTTGGACTGGTTCAATGATTGGCGTAGGGGTACTGTATAGTCGGGGTCGAGCTCGGTCAAGCAACGTACCCTGAGTGGATCATTGGCAGCCTCAACCATTTCACTGAGGTCGATGTCATTCGTGTCAAATTTTGAGATCGAAATTGCATCTGTCACCTCAGAGTTTTCGCTGTCGCCGTCAGGGACGCGGAAGGCCACGGCTCCAAGTGGTGCTGTAGTGTGGGATGGTGGGTTGGTAGATGGTTCAGGTGGTGGTGGACCGGTGGGAGAGTTGGGTCGAGTAGTGCTGTGATGGTAGTCGTCGGCGTAGTGACTGTTGTTCCATTCGCCCCAGGTGTCATCAGCATCAGGTGTGGGGATGTAGGCCGGATTTGATGGGCGTGCAGCTGGTCGTAGTACGACTTCGCGGCCTCTGGAGCGACGACGAGGTGTCTTGGAACGTGGTCTGGGGTGAGATCGATGACGTCGAGGAACCACGGGAGAGCGGCGTCTTGGCGGTGATCGTCGTCTGTATGGAGAAGGAGTTCTGCGGTCCTTGTCGTGTTTCGTGGATGACCGAAATCGAGGAAGGGGAGAACGAGGTCGTACAGCACGGCGAGGAGAATGTCGACGATGATGTGGTTGTGCAGAGGGTCGACGGGAGCGTGATCTTGGAGTCCTGGATCGTGGTCTGTGCGTTGGCGATGTTGGAGCATGTAGGTGGTGAGGAAGAGAAGTGGCTGGAACTGAGAGGATGCGATGGTCCGGAACTTCAGGTTCGGTGGGTCTTGCTTTCGGTGCAGGTGGGGGCATGGCAGTAGGTGGTGGTGCTGCTGTAGGTAATGGTTTAGGCGGTGTGGGGTTCGGTGTAGGTACTTCGTGGTGGAGGAGTAGCTGACGTTGTTCTTGGGCGCGTTGAGAATCCAGAATCATTTGTTGTTGAGCTTGAATAAGACGGACCGATTCCGCAAGTTGTTGTGTAGTGGAGCCCAGCGCTGCAAGTTCCGGCGGAATGGATGGAGACGGTGCTGCCGTTGGTGCCGGTGGTGTAGCAGGGAGAGAGGCTTTCGGAGCTGACCGACGTGGTTTGTCCGGTTTCTTGTCGGAGCGAAGCTTTGGGGCAGCCTTAACTGCTGGTGGTGGAGGTTCATCTGGAGGGACCATAGATGCTTCCGTCAATAGTGGAGGGTGAGGGTGGTGAGGTGGGTATGGAGAGCTCTGCAAAGGTGTTGGTGGAGTAGTCGATGTAGGCGATGAAGCCGGAGCAGAATGCCATGCGGGTGGAGCGATGGGTGCCGGAGGAGTAGTGAAAGTCGGTGGAGCGGTGTGCACCAGAGTGGTTTCAGGAGCCAAAGGTGTGGGCATTGTAGGCACGAGTTGTGGGCCTGGTACCGCATGAGGAGTCGAAGTCAATGGGGTAAATGGCAACGATGTTGTGACTGATGCAGACGGCACGAGCGAAGATGATGAAGACCATGTAGGATGCAATGGCGAAGGATGTCCAAATAAATGTGCGTTCTGCGGTGATTGCGGCCACGTCGAGGATGGATTCGTAGGCTGCGGTGGGGCAGGCCATGACGTCGGAGGAGAAGTCCACGGGTACATTGCTCAAGTAAAAAGAACTACAATGGAAAATCACACACCAGGATGTACCACAGGATTCAGTTCCTAGCCTACAAGTCGTGCGTTGCGCCAATCCAGGCCCGTGTTCCAGTCAGCCACGAGGGCATAAAACGGCTATCAAATTCCAACGAATTAGATGCACAATATGTTTCACCTCACCAAATACCAAAGAGACCACACCTGCAGGAAAAGGACATGCCTGTTGCCTTTTGTCGTGAATGTCATGTTGAACTTCAAATGCGCAAGCTGCAGTGATAAAAAGGAAGTTTCTGGTAGTTCGAAGCAGCTTCACTTGAAAGAGCAGATCACTGGGATCCCTGGGACATCCGGAGCAGCAGGAGATCTCAAAATGGTTGGCAAACCGTAAGGCCAGCTGTTGCAATTTACTTAAATGAATTACCAAATTAAAATGTGTTAATTCGGAAGTCAAGACAGTCACCACTCACCCTAAAAAGGGTTGCCTCAAATGGCTCCATGGCACCATGTCGGAGCCACCATGGAAGTCACACTAGACAAGAATGGATCATTATATGATCCGGCAGGAACTGAATCCTGAAACATGCAGATTAGATACAAAATAACGAAATTAACGATGCATCCTACGAATAATGGAAGTTCTCCTGAATGGTTTCCATGTCCAAATTCGTCATCAAAAAAATATAGATCGGCGACGTGGTTTTGACAAAATACTCCAAATACATCGGCGACATGGTTTCGGCGAGATAATCCAAAAAATCAAGAATACTGTCGGCGACATGGTTTCGGCGAAAGTACTGAGGGAGGTTCTGATGCATAAACTACAGATTGTGGCAACCGTGAAGGAATAAAATCATGGTAGTTGGGGTTCTGAGCTTGGCCCCTTGCTATGTCGGAAAAAGCAGGTACGTCAGGAAAGCGTCCCTTCCTGATATCCTAGTCTGACACCTGGAGCTTCGTGGGCCCACGCCAGGAATCAGACCCGTGGGCCCCCTGCAAATGTGAGAAGATTAGAACAAAAGAAGTTTTACATCTGTTCAGATGTTACACACACACACACACTTGCTCAGAACAATCTTTGCGAATTCTGATGTGGAATGCAACGGACGTGCAAAAACACCAACAATAAATCGACACGAAGAATGAAATTATATATAATTATACCAGTAGTACCGCACAAGGCGGTGGCGAAAGTTTCAACAATGGGAAACCTATAGGAGAGATTGGTTGTTGTGAATCAGGGATGGCAGAGCGAATCCGCTGATGGACCGAAAGGTGCTTGAGGTCTCCTCTCTTTCTCTCTCTTTCTCTGACTATCTACCCACCTACCAACCTATATTCTATGTATCTATCTATCTATCTATCTATCTATCTATCTATTTATCTATCTATCTATCTATCGATCTATCTATCTAACTATCTGTCTATCTATCTATCTCTCTATCTCTCTATCCATCTATCTATCTTTCTAATCTATCTATCTTTCTTTCTTTCTAATCCATCTATCTATCTATCTATCTATCGATCTATCTATCTATCTATCGATCTATCTTTCTATCGGTCTATCGATCTATCGATCTATCGATCTATCGATCTATCTATCTATCTATCTATCTATCTATCCGTCTACCTATCTATCTATCTTTCTATCCATCTATCGATATTTCTATCTATCTATCTATCGACCTATCTACACGAAAATAATATCACCTCACACACACACATACACATACGTATAACACCCGCATGTACATATTACAAACTGCCTCTTACACCCGGTACACATATCGTTAACACACTACCAAAGTGACACGCCTGTACATGCACATACATACATACACACAAACTCACCCACCATCACCCCTCCATCACTTTCATACTTCCTCTTCCCTTGTTGCTTTTCTGTGCTCAGTCTAAGTCTGGACAAGTTGTTAACATGTGGGGTTATCCGGTCCTATAATTCCACCAGTGGGGAACCTGGAAATCACCAGGCGCCAGAGGGCCAAAGAAGCAGCAGCACCAAAGCGCGCATGACCTCAGCTGGCGCTGACAAAACCATCCATGGGGATATAAAACGCCTCTGATATGTTTGATGCAATGATATTTTTTTAATTTAACATAATTTAACCCATATTTTGGCACGTCCAAAAATGGGGGATGCCAATGCGTTTGTTTTCACATGTGCTGATTTCGATACTGAAATCGATGATGAAACGGTGGTTTTGAGGATTGCATCTTCTTTCTGATTTCCTGGCAAAACACACGGGCAAGTGAGAGGATGGAAGCAACCAAAGTATATAATTAAAGATTCCACTTCAAGAAACCCGTCAGAGACAGAAAATCTACCCCCCATGCTGACCATTTTGCCCCTAATTTATTCTACCACAAAATCTTGCTTCTGGTCCACATCGCCCGCTCGATGGAAAACTGAAAACATCAGACGCCCCACGGATCACTTCTTTGCTACTGCCTCTCTCCGGCAAGATCTCCTCGAGCTGTAGACTTGGCTGGGAGACCCCCTATTGGCGGTTTTAATCACACAACAAAAACATAAATATATATATATATATATGTCAATTGTTATCCTCATCCCAGGTTGAGAAAAAAAACACAGAAACAAATGTGATTGAAAATTGAAGCCACCAGCCACGGTATGAATCAAAAATGATTGTCGTAGCGATTCTATGGTGAACAGCATCGCCATTCAGTGTGCACACCTCCACGGAACAGGTTCTGCAGGCGCGAGCCTGCAGCAATAACGTGCAACCAGGGGTCCTGCTGTTCCATATCATTTCCATTCACGCAGTCTGGATTTTTTTTGTCTAGCTCCCAAGTCTCGAATGAAACCTGTACATTGTTCAGTATGATATATATATATATATGATACATATATATATATGTGTGTGGATGCATATGTGTATACATATACATATATATATATATTTAATATATATATTCTTATATACACAGGATATATGTATAAATATATATATACATTTACTTATTTATTTATTTATTTAGAATTTTGTACGTACACACTATATACATATGTGCTTTTAAGCCTGGAGGTATTTAATTGTCCTTAATTTATTTAAATATAGGTAAATGTATTTACATGCATTCACATGCGTATAGATCTATGTACATGTATGTACATGTATTAATATGTATTGATATGTACTGTATTTCTCTGTATTTCTCTGCATTATATATATGTGTGTGTAGTATGTATGTACGTACATAAATACATACATGCATATATGTGTGTGTGCGTGCACAGATACTGACGCAAAAAACTGTTTAAAAAGAAACATGGTGCATGCATGTATGTACGTACGTACGTACGTATGTATGTATGTGTGTATGTGTGTATGTCTGTATGTCTGTATGTGTGTATGTGTGTATGTGTGTATGTGTGTATGTGTATGTACGTAAGTACGTACGTACGTACGTACGTATGTATGTATGTATGTATGTATATATGTATGTATGTATGTATGTATGTGTGTATGGGTGTATGTGTGTATGTGTGTATGTGTGTATGTGTGTATGTGTGTATGTGTGTATGTATGTATGTGTGTAATGTAATGTAATGTAATGTAATGTAATGTATGTATGTATGTAATGTAATGTATGCAATGTATGTAATGTATGTAATGTATGTAATGTATGTAATGTATGTACTGTATGTAATGTATGTAATGTATGTAATGTATGTAATGCATGTAATGTATCTATAGATATAGATTATATATATAAAAGATTAAAATTATATTCACATGTATATAGAATATACGAATATAAATATACGTGTGCGAATAAATTTACTTTTCTTTAGACATATATATATATATATGTATATGTATTGTGTATATATATATATATATTGTATATATATATATTGTACATATATATATATGTGTATATATATATGTTGTATATATATATATACATTGTGTATATAGAGAGAGAGAGAGAGACTACATCCACTGTATACTGCCCACACAGTGTCACATCACGCCTCCCGAGGCTTGTGTTGCTCTGACACTTTGAAACTGCTCAGCGGCAAGGCATTTCCACCTTGGTCACAACCAGCCTGCCTTCAGGGATTTTTTGGCAGGTACTAAAGATGCATGGGTATTTCTTGGAGAGATTATTTTCTTGATCGTACTGCCTGTCCCCTCGAAATGAATAGTCCCCAAAATATTAAGTAGTTTCTCCGAACCCAAAGTTGTCTGAATACAGTTTTCAACTGCTCCCTTTTACTTTTGTATCCGGGAATTGTTCTGGATTTTTTTTGTCGCAATCCTACTCACCAACAGTGATGAAAAATTGCCAGCTTTATCACATTTCATAAGGATAAACATCTGAAAACAAAAGTTCCAAAGCTAATCTGCCTTGCAAATGACAATTTTCAGTGGTTCAGTCCTGGTTGGGGGTCTTGTCCATCTTGAAAAAAGGAAACAAAAGGGCAAAAAAAAAAGGAAAAGGATGAGAAACAACAAATACGAAAGGAACATTGAGAAAAAAGGGGAAAAATAAAGAAAAAGAACCAAGGAAAGGAAAGGGGGAAGAAAAAAAACCTGGGAAATCTAGCGTGGCAGTGTGGCTGAAAGCTCTTGAATGCACTGTCATAAATGACTCTTTGGATCGCATCCATGGGTATCCATGGGTCAACTTTCCACCACTTGGAGCAAAGTCAAGTTGTTGGATGCTGGAAAATCTGAACTTGCCAGGACACAGTGGATGCAGCGGCAGACTTCCTCCTCAGTCGGACAGGGTAATCGGTGTCAGGAGTTTAGTCAAAATGGGCCATCCTACTGTAAGCTTGCATATTGGTGCCTGTCCGCATGAGAAAGAGGACATCTCTTGGAAAAAAAATCTGCAGTGGTCTGGGAGGGAGAGTGTTGATATTCAAGATATGTCCTGTCAGCAAGTTCTTCGACTTGAACTTGTTCTTCTTCGTGCCGTTTGATTTCATGGACCCACCCGTCACTAGGTGAACCCGGCGCATTGCAAACAACGCCAAAGGTGGCTCGCTTGCTGGAGCATCGAAGGTCCGAAATTCCTCGAAGCAGAGAAACAAGGCGGCTTGACACCCCAAATCTGTTTTCCCACCTGCCGGGCAGCACCAGTTGGCAGGCAGTACAATAGCCATGCTGCACTCGGCCCATTGCCATCGATGTGATGCACATGGGACAGCTACCATTTCTATTGCAGTTCTCCTCTATCAGTTGAAGTGGACCATGTTGCATCACGTTGCTTCACTCAAGAGGTAGGAAGATAAGGGGAGATATATATATATATAGAGAGAGAGAGAGAGTATGAAAATTAAAGTGGCAGAGACCTCTACATCCATTCCCAAGTTTCAGCTACATCTCGTGGTGACCTCTCAAATTCATTCGAACTCTTGCTGCTGGATTCTGGCTTTGATATGCGTTGATATTACGTTCAGGCATCCATAATTCAGCAGCAATTGCCTTTAAGATCTTTAAGAAATCCCGGCCAATGTGGCCGCCTCTGGCCATGGAGTTTGTCACCTTTTGAAGCTTGTTTGATCCAATGCGAAGCAAGCTTTCGGATAGAGTCAACAGCGCTCCCCAGTCGATGCAAAACCTTCGATGGCTGTGTTTGCACACCCGGCATGTTCCCAGCCTGCCATGGTGCATCACGCCTGGCAGAAATAACCCCACCTGACCTCACAGAGTGGACCTGCTGGATGTTGCTGGATCCTGTCAGTTCAGCGCTGTTCACTCCAACCTTGGCGACCAAGTAGGCGTCATGGCTCACATCCAAATCATGCCGAGTCGAGTGGTTTGCAGTTTGATGCTGGATTCGTCTGATCCGTCAAAGCTGACTGAAAATGGGCCCACGGCGCTAATTTCCTATCGAGCAATAGATTTGAGTCCATTACGACAAACAGAACTATCATGTTGCAGATTGAAAGCAAATCGGCATCTTTAATGCATGAAAGAGGGATGCATTGCGACCTCTGCCCAGCTGTTCTTGCTATTGGGTCAGCTCCCCTGGACTTGGGGCCGCATCGTGACAAATTGCTCTACAACCCTAGGGTCAACTGTTCAGCTGTGCAGTGTAGCACTCATTGCACTTGAATTAAGACTTGTCTGAGGAGCCAAAGTCACATGCCAGGAATATGCAGGATGCATCTGATGGGCAAACTCATTCCCTCAGATCTTTAAAGCATCTCATCTCGGTATCTGGCAATGTCTGCAACCCCCATTGGCAACCATTTGGGGATGGTTATCCCACCCATCTGTGATGATGTTTAGGATGTGGCGGTCTAGGCCTACCACATTGTGATCATTATGTATTCATGTTGTTTATTTCTCTGATGGAGGTTTACCATCGGAACTGCATCCTGCCTGAGTTCCGCTGAAAACTCTGACTCGTCTTTTTGTGCTCGGCTGCTCGATGCTGGGTCAAATGCAACAAGGAACAATCAAAGGCACTCGTTCAGACGCAGGTCACGAATGCACGAACCAAGCCTTTTTGCCGTCACCATAGCCTTCTGCCTTTGCATGATTTCTCTGCCTGTTAGCTAATGCTTAGATCATTTGTGTAAGTTACGTAATTTACCTGATACTCGATATAACTCGATATAAACTTGATATAACTTGGTATATACATAAAATCATCATTATCATCATTATAAGCCTAGAAGCGTATCAATATGCGTGATATATGCGTGATTCTGCGTGATGCCAAAGGTGCCTTCCCCAAGGCTGCCGGCAGGGGCTCGGCTGTTTCCACAACCTCACAACGGGTCGTCCAAGCTCCTCATGTGGAGTCTCAAGATATCTTTAAAACAGTTTAAAAAGACGCTGGATTTGCTACTCCAAAATTTGTTGAAGCTGTTGAAGCTGGAGCTGTTCGACTTTTCTCCAGGATTCGTTGTTCTGCAACCAGCAAAACAATCTTGACACTCCAGAAACTAAGAGGAGCCCAAAGGATGTCTGCCATGAATTCGCTTCACGGGACCGCTGAATCAAAAATGTGCCCTACGCGTGCTCACCAGTGCGATGTTATACAACGTAAAACAGGTTGGAGAGATATACAAGATTGTCAAATATTATCAACGTTATCTTCCGTTCAAAACAATATTTTACAGTGCATTCTAAGATGATTATTGACTCATGCTACCCAGAGATGTCCTTGAGTTAACTTATAGAATACACGCGTACTTGTATAATCCTATAGGTACCATCACTATCTCGTTGGGGGGAGGGGGGAACCATATATGTATATATATATATATAAATACATACATATATATGCTACCCCCCCCAGACCTACATTTTTTGTATTAGGTATGTCCTTGGCTGCCTTGTCTTTCTTCTCATCTTCTCACCTATTGCAACACTGCATCAGGAAAGTAGCTTGTGCGCATGCACCTGGACACATCTCGCCCACATATGTAGCTGTAGCATAGCACATGTGAAGAAACTGACCACGTAGGTGCATGAACACTGAGAGCACCTGGGTGGGTGGGAAAGGACAAGCAATACACTAGACATTTTGTGTACCAGATATGTCCTTGGCTGCCTTGTCTTTCTTCTCATCTTCTCACCTACCGCAACACTCCATCACAAAAAATTTTATGCGCATGCACCTGGACACATCTCGCCCACATATGTAGCTGTAGCATAGCACATGTGAAGAAACTGACCACGTAGGTGCATGAACACTGAGAGCACCTGGGTGGGTGGGAAAGGACAAACAAGACACGAGACATTTTGTGTACCAGATATGTCCTTGACTGCCTTGTCTTTCTCCTTATCTTCTCACCTATTGTAACACTGCATCAGGAAAGTAGCTTGTACGCATGCACCTGGACACATCTTGCCCACATATGTAGCTGTAGCATAGCACATGTGAAGAAACTGACCACGTAGGTGCATGAACACTGAGAGCACCTGGGTGGGTGGGAAAGGACAGAGAATGTATTGCTTTGGATGCATGAGCCCATGTGTAGCATTATCATAGCGCATAACTCAATTGGACCGAGGAACAACGAGACACCAATCGAGACATATTCCATGAAGAAGACCTGGCAGAAATTGGATCAAAAAGAAGCTTTCGGCACGATTGTGAACACGGAAGACCCGAAGCAATATATTGCAATGCATTTTTCCCCAAAGCTCTATGGCTCACTTCTTGCCCATAAGGCGCTTTGCGGCCCATTGGCACAGAGATCCGGTCGCCACCCACATGTCTGCATTTTTGTACCAATACTGATACTGAGCAGATCGGAGTTTGGATCTCAGCAGGCTCGACCCGGCTTTTGTATTTTGATTAAGGCTGAGACGCTCCTTTAAGAAACGCCAGCAGCGGTCAATCACTTGGGTGCCAGCTTTCACACGGATCTTTTTATTTGTGCCTGGAAGTTTGTGTTCCACTACTTTGACATATCGTGGCGCCTGCCATTTCCATTTGCCGCGTACTTTCACGCGTTTTTTGCAATGGACTACTCGATCGTGCAACACCCCTGCAACACGGACCCTATAACTCTTGGCAGAATCCGTGTGCAACACAACCTTTCTGTTCTTCAGCCAATGGTCAGCAAGGGGACGCCACTCGACTTTGCGTACTGCACCGGGTCCCGGTGCACGTGCATCTGTACGAACAGGCTTCAGACGATGCAAGACCAACGACTCCGGCTTCCCTCGCTGAACAATACCATACCATTGTTCCCACTCAATTGGCTTCTTGGTGTTGCCCAGCTCTGACACATCAGTGATAGTCCAGCTCTGACACATCAGTGATAGTCTTCTTGTCGAATGTAGTTTCGTCTGCCTCGACATCCTGCCACGCTGCTCCGTTGCCGAAGACAATCTCTTTCTCCTTCTCCTCCACATACTCCTTGCGTAGTAAAGCCAATCGCTTGTCCAAGTCCTCGATGGCCTTGTGATTCACATGCATGAGCCTGTGGATGGTGGAGTTTGGAATGTTGTTGATTTTGAGAAGTAATAGGGCAGCCTGAGTCTGCAAGGGGCTACCTGCCACACCATAACCTTCTGTAAACAGAGGGTGCAAGTGATGCGGATTGAAGTAGACCTGGCACCCCCTGGAATTGCAGCGAAGCTTAGGGGATGAGTCACCAGGCTTCTGCACCCAACCGCGTAGCTTCCCCTTCTCACACCGAGGACAAGTTTTGCCACGCCAATCAGGCAACAAGCCATCCTGCATCAACATCTGCACGATCCCCTTGTCGGTCGCATGGAGGATGTCTGGCAAGGACCTCTTCCACTTTGTCTGGTCCATGCGAAGACCCCGCGGACCAACATCCGCAGCACCCCTTGTATACGGTACATTCTGCCAAGACTTTGCCTTCGTCTTCTGAGAAGCTGGGCGTTTCAAGACCATACGAGATTTGCCCTTCTTTGGTGCCGGGAATGGATTGAATTTGGAACGCATAGCGCAATGGCCTTGAGTGATGGCTATATGGAACACAAGAGTTGAGCTGTATGCTACAGTGCAATATGCATGAATGGATGCTCGCTTCGCTTGCAATTACTTGTGCTTCGATGGAGACAGCGGACCTTGATTGCACAACACCGACAACATAACCTTTTCGTGCGATGGCTATGATCCTTTTTTTTTCTTCTCCCCTCGGACACGACTTCGCAAGTCTATCTTGCTATTGTACGAATCTACTGCATTCGAATTATAGGCTACTTGTCTACATGCCATTCAGTCCCATGTAGTGGGCTGCCTCTTCATCAGCCTCTAAATCCATACTCTTCGGTTCCTCAGGCTCCGCTTCCATGGGGTCTTGGTATGCAGCTTCTGCATCCTCAGCCAACTCCTCAATGTGCTGCGATGGTGGTGGAGAAGTCTTGGCCCGTAGTCGACGATCGGGATAGACGAAATTGCCACGGCGACGCCCCGAGGGTCGAGTGCCAATGGGAGGCACAGGGCAGACCACATCCATATTGGCTTCTGGAGTAGAAGGGCAGGATGATGGTGGCACAACATGGGCACTGCGGAAAAGAAGTTTGTCCTGAAGCTTGTGGTTCACATAAGCAACATAATCCTGCAGGTTTTCATATCCTGCAATCTTCTGAAATCCTTCCTCCAAGACTTCCTGTTCCTGGAGAATCTCTGCATCAAAGTTTGATCCAGTCTCCATCGTACCTCCCTTGTACTTTCCATACAAAGGTTTGTCCCGCTCACCTAGCAAGTCAAGATGCACGTCCTCCAAGCAAATCCGATGCACAATGGCATCTCTATGTGCACTTGGCAAACGAAGGTAGAGAGCGTGGTTGCCGAACATGAAGACGATGGAGCGTTTCAGTACTGCCAAGACATCTTTCTCTCTGTCACCGCGGAAGAATTCATCAAGCAAGCTAAAGAAGTTGGCTTCAGAAATCACTGTGTCACCTGCATTGCAATCAAATCTTTCTTCTGCCAAGTCATTGGACGCATAGGCCCTCATTTGATTCCGTAACATCTTGGTATCGTTGTACCTGGACTCAACCGTTCCATCCTCATCACATGTAAGGAAACTCTTCAGGTCGGCTATGCACACCTTGCTTCGATCGGGGTCGTCTAGAAAGAGAGCCTCTTGAACCTGAGGGGCTTTGTGCCTGAAGTTGTCCAGGGATTTGGCTCGGCGCCAACCAGCCTTCAGGCCTTCACATCCAGATCGACGAACGTGGTAACGACCAAGCGCCATTGCCAGAGTGATCACAAAGGGCGTTTTCCCCACACCAGGACAACCCAGCAGCAAGAGGCCAAAGTTGATGAGCAGTGGATACAAGTATGGTAGCAAGATAGTGTGCAAGAATGGCTTCAGGCTATAGGTTGTGAGGGGAAACTCGGTCATACTCACAGCACCTCCAAGCCCCTTGCTTTTGTTTTGGCACATTTGCCGTACCTTGGCCTCCGGCCATCCTGCAATAGGTGTGCTTGAGTCAGGCTTGATGTTGAGCAGGATCCACAGTGTTTGCTCGTTGAGAGCGTCACATTCTGGGGCAAATGCATTGATATGGTAGATGCCTTCTTCCAGCTCAGACCTTGATGGTGACCAGGTAGGTTTTGAGGAATGCTCCGCCTGGGTCTTCTCTTCAAGGGCAAACCATCTAAGTTGATACCCTCCTAAATGATTGAGAAGCCACTGCACTCCCTTTTTGATGTTCCAGGGCCCCGATCTAAAGACTGGAATATAAGCTTTCCCACTGCACAAAGCTTCGGCAGCTTGAAAGGACATCGGACGTGGCAGATAGAGCACTTTGAGAACATCTACGTTTCCATTCGCCATGGTCACATGCACGAAGTCCATTTTGGTTGTACTCGGAGGAGTGCCTTTGAAACGGATGGGTTCAGGTAAATCATCCCATCGATATTGCATAGCGATCTGGCCAATGTCGACTGGTTCGCCACATGAGGGTATGTCATTGTGGAAATCAAAGAGAACTGTAATGGATTTCACCCCCTTTTGCAAAGGTCTGCACGCATCAGTGGTGAATCCAATGCATGTGATGGGCTCTTCCACTTCGACAATCCCACATTTGGCTTCTTCCAAGGGTCGTAGATATAACGGTTTCTTTCCCAATGCTTGGATTGCCTTATCCATCAATGTTCCAGCCATTGCAATCAAAGGGGAGCACGGCGCGGTGCACAAGACAAGACTGGGGCGGACAGGTTTGGGCTCATGTGACACAGCAGAGAAGAAATACGAGAGTGACAAGAATCCACACATGAATTGAATGTTGAATGTCAACTGCCAGCATGTTCAAAACAATCAGACCTTCCCAAGTACTTTCGCTGCCACACGTGCATGCCAAGGACATATCTCTAAGTATGTA